GGAATCGGTGACCCTATACTCGGTTGCATCGGCAACTTCCTCGCTCAACCTCAGCTGAATTTGAGAGTCCGCAGCTCCATTTCCGACCCAATTGACCTCCAGTGTGGTGTGCCTCAAGGATAGGTGTACTGGGGCCATGTTTATTCCTCACATTCATTAAGGATCTTGGCAGTGTACTTCAGTCGAAGTTCTTACTGTTTGTAGATGATATCAAAATTTGGCATGATATTAGGACATCAGATGATCACATGGCATTGCAGAGCGATTTCGGTAGGGCTTATGCATGGTCATCCAATAACCGGCTCCAGTTCAACGTGACCAAGCGCAAAGTCGTAAGCATACGCCATCAGCTTATCTATGAATATCGACTTGGGGACCAGCAGTTACAACGTGCTTCCCAAGAAAACGACCTCAGGGTGATCGTGCAGGACGACCTTGGTTGTTCGAGACAGGCTGAAAAGGAATCGAAAAGAGCCAGTCAACATCTTGGACTCTTACGGAGGACTTTCGGCAATTTTAAGCCATCAATCTTTCCGCAAATGCTGAACGCCTACGTGAGGCCTCACGTGGAATATGCGATCCAGGCCTAGCGTCCCTGGCGTAAGCGCGACGTCGATGCACTTGAAGCTCCACAATGTAGAGCGACCAAACTCGTTATAGGATTGTTTCATCTCTCCTACCAACGCAGACTGCAGTCCCTGAGATTGTACAGTGGTGAATATCGACGTCAGCGAGGAGACCTAATCATGGTTTACTTAATACTGACGAACCCAACTCACCCATGTCTCAATCTGTTGCAGCTGAACCAAAATACCAACCTGAGAGGTCATCAGCTCAAATTGGCTACGCACTACAGTCGACTTGATTGTCGACGCAAAGTTTTCTCCCTCCGTGTGTCCAGTGCCTGGAATGCCCTTCCGACTCAAGTCATCCCTGCCCCTACATTAACGCTTTACAAAAAACGCCTTGTTGAAACGCTTTCAAACTTTCATTACTTGATATCGTCCGTTTCACTTGGAGGACGAAACAACGTAAACCTAACCACTTGCCTAACCGCCCTCTCCACAACGTGGCGCTGAGGATGCATGCAGAAGTGTCCATGTGAGTAGCCTGGATATATCTAAACTGGATTAATATAGCTCATCTGTCAAATGAAGAAACAAATGAGTGAGCGTTTTCGTTTCCTTTTTTATTTCTCCCGCACTTACTGAACTATAACAGCACTCTATACTACTTTGTGTGTGCATGTCCCATTCCCACTTCAAACTATCGTTATGCAGTAGTGCATTGAACTCGGTGGACGCTTGAAATAACCATTTACTTATTCGATAAACCTTCAACTGTTAATTTTTACTCCAAACATCCTAGGGGGACTTGTCAAGTACATGCTTTTTTACCCGTGATAAATCATTGTTCATTGTTTCTGATGTGACAATAGACAGGGCTCGTGTGTGCGTGTGTGCTGTAGTGATCTAATATAAAAGCGTAGGAAGTGAAATGGTGACGGAATGTGTGGATGTGGAAGTATCTTGTAGTGCACGTATAAATAATAGTGAAATGTGGTTCTGATCAAATTGCCAGTGTGAAGTTGTAGGCTGTGTTATTGAGGTAAGCGATAAAAGTACGATAGAGAAAAAATCCCTGTCAGAATAGGTATCCGGAGTGTATCACATGCCCAAAAGTCTTCGTCACTGGTTTCGTTTCCCCTCTTCCGTATCCTCACTTTTCACGAACTTTTACCCTAGTTTATCGTCGAGAGATCACTAATGACTTTATCGGTCAAAGTAGTAATGAAGTTGGGGCACCATTCAAACCAAGTATACTGTTCTATATTGGGCCTTTTGATGTCCCTGTTAATATATCTCTTGAATCCGAATCGGTTTCGCTGATTCCGTCACATGCTCTGCGTACCTGTAAGGCAACTGCCTCGCTATGGAATGTTTACCGATAAAGCAGATAGTAGGGCAAAACCACCGAAGTAGCCGGTCAGTTGCATGCCAAAATGTCGGAATAAACTAAAGGAAATACTGAGTCAAGTTGGTTCAAGATGTCTTCTTCGATGGGACAACAGTGTGTTAAGGGCAAAAAGCAATGGTTAACAAGTCACGTGGGATAGAAAGAACATAGAAAACATGATGACAAAAAGTTTTTTTGGTGGACTCATCACGGTATTTGCATTGAGGCATGCGTAAAAGGGCCGAGAAGTTCATATGAGTGGTTAGAATTTTGAAACACACCGCTTGGTTGCGTTATGTGGCCTCTGGCTAACACAAGATGGGGTCTTCGGAGTAAACCAAGTCAGAGGCTGCACTTATTCGGATATGAGGAGGCCACAGAATCAGTGGCGTTCAGATATCCGTCCCCTTATTCTTGACTGTTCAATCTGACGACTGCAATTCTTGTCCATTCCGTTTTAATTCCTGTGATTAGTTTAGGGACCGAAGTCAGGGTGGATGGGTGTCCCTCACCTTAGCGCATGAATAGCAGTTGGAAAACCCACATGGACTGCGGCGATCGGAATTTGTTTGGCAGAAAATGAGAACAGCGCAGTTTGTATGAGAATAGTTGCACCAACTTTTCAGTCTATGGCTAGCTTTGTTATAAATCGCTTCAATGTCTTGGACAACCTGGAGAGTGAGGTCGATAATTTTTATAGAAACAGTATTCTCCAGGTCACGGAACCTGCCATTTTAAATTAAGCTCAAGGTTATCGAGGTGACACTACTCTGAAGCTGAATTTATTAGAACAGTGACTGTCAAAGGCAACCATTTTTCATGTCAACAAAAACAGCCAAGGTGGAAGAAACACAAGTATTTGGACGAGCACAGCCGATTCAAATGGCCGCCTTCAAATTTATTAAAGAACTCCTACAATTGGTGGTTCGGTGTTGCTCCTCCCAACCCTGAGACCCCATGACCGGTCTCGTCCTCTTTTGGACTCATCAGATGGAGATACCCTGAGCTGGGGTGGACCTCGAGGTATAGTGTTCAAAGGTTGACGCCCTGACCACTATGGCTCCTAGGTCCGCGAGCAACGTTTGGCACAGCGGTAAAGTGTTCCAAGTGGCATTTGGTGTACTTGCTGTGTGGTTGGATTGCGACTCGCAATCTCTATTCAGACCTCGGTCCTAAGTGGACCTCGGTCATTACGATCACAAGGACCGTAACCGAATTGGTGGTTCGGTGTTGCTCCTCCCAACCCTGAGACCCCATGACCGGTTTCGTCCTCCTTTGGACTCATCAGATGGAGATACCCTGAGCTGGGGTGGACCTCGAGGTATAGTATTCAAAGGTTGACGCCCTGACCAATATGGCTCCTAGGCCCGCGAGCAACGTTTGGCACAGCGGTAAAGTGTTCCAAGTGGCATTTGGTGTACTCGCCGTGTGGTTGGATTGCGACTCGCAATCTCTATTCAGACCTCGGTTGCGGACCTAGGAGCCATAGTGGTCAGGGCGTCAACCTTTGAGCACTATACCTCGAGGTTCACCCCAGCTCAGGGTATCTCCATCTGATGAGTCCAAAGGAGGACGAAACCGGTCATGGGGTCTCAGGGTTGGGAGGAGCAACACCGAACCACCAATTCGGTTACGGTCCTTGTGATCGTAATGACCGAGGTCCACTTAGGACCGAGGTCTGAATAGAGATTGCGAGTCGCAATCCAACCACACAGCGAGTACACCAAATGCCACTTGGAACACTTTACCGCTGTGCCAAACGTTGCTCGCGGACCTAGGAGCCATATTGGTCAGGGCGTCAACCTTTGAACACTATACCTCGAGGTCCACCCCAGCTCAGGGTATCTCCATCTGATGAGTCCAAAGGAGGACGAAACCGGTCATGGGGTCTCAGGGTTGGGAGGAGCAACACCGAACCACCAATTCGGTTACGGTCCTTGTGATCGTAATGACCGAGGTCCACTTAGGACCGAGGTCTGAATAGAGATTGCGAGTCGCAATCCAACCAAACAGCGAGTACACCAAATGCCACTTGGAACACTTTACCGCTGTGCCAAACGTTGCTCGCGGACCTAGGAGCCATAGTGGTCAGGGCGTCAACCTTTGAACACTATACCTCGAGGTCCACCCCAGCTCAGGGTATCTCCATCTGATGAGTCCAAAGGAGGACGAAACCGGTCATGGGGTCTCAGGGTTGGGAGGAGCAACACCGAACCACCAATTCGGTTACGGTTCTTGTGGTCGTAATGACCGAGGTCCACTTAGGACCGAGGTCTGAATAGAGATTGCGAGTCGCAATCCAACCACACAGCGAGTACACCAAATGCCACTTGGAACTCCTACAATTGCTATGGCCATATGGAGACCAGAACAGGATCCCGCTAGCCAAGGCAAGAGAATGAGCGCAGCTGACTGCGTACCAAATCAAGCAGTTAGCTCAACCAAACACACAAGAAACCGCTTAATTAGCGTAGGTGCGCAATGAAACTACAACTTTTGAGTGGTTTGCCCGGTAAGCTGTAACCCAACGAGGAAAGTTTCAGATCGTCGCACATCGCCAGAGGTAGGGATCGAACGTGGGACATCTACGACCATACAGGCGGGTGCTTGTGCGACCACGCCACCGAGCTCCGTGCATACTGGTTGCCGCAGCGGCTGGAAAATAACGAATGAGTCTGACCTCTAACTTCAGCCAGCTCTGTCTGAATGGGCAAAGCAGAGATGAAACCGATCAAGGAGGGAGCAATACCGAAAATGTCGATGCATTGGATATATTCTAGTTCGGAATGGTTGGGTTTTACCATAAAATAAATCATGATCTAACTCTAGACCTTATAATGCAACTCGAAACATTCTGTCGTCCATCGCTGAACTTAAATTCAGCCAAACACTTCACAGTATACTGTTGTGCAACAACGTTCAATTAAGTTATATGTAGTATGAAGCCGTAGACTATAGGATGCATGTAAAATATAGTTTATGTTTGAAGTGGTTACGTAGTAGTCGTCTGATTTATCACGCCCTCTTTTTACGTACACTTTTAGGCTACACGACATAACCGAACCCAGAACAGCTGACGTGATGATCAATACAGACAAACATGAACCTCATCAACCCACACCACGTCGCGGATTTAAGCGAGCGCTTTGTCAACCAAAGGGGATAAGAATGGAAGAGGCGATTTCGTTGTGGGTGCAAAAACAGCAGCAATTACTCAACCCAACTGTCTCACGCGAATCGACCTGGAATGCTACAAACAGAAATGCGATATGTGACATTCGAAGTGTATCCATAGCAGTGACGGAGAGTATCACAAAGGAAAATACTCCCATGAGGCTGTGGTGTTCTAGGTCGGAGGCCATAGATATGACGGTAACAAACAGCGACAATTCCTCTAGGCGACCGAGTCACACTGACCTGATAGCTCCCGTAAAGGCGTCTGACCGAGTGAGAAGGGAGAAAAGTGACCGGAATCCCATCTCAGACATTGGGCTTCATTTGTCACTATCTCAAATTGACGATCTTGGAATAAATCAGCGTCGAAGGGACAATGGAACAACAAGCAGCACCGGAAGTCAGAACGAGAGCGACACCAAACAGCAAAGGGTGCCCGTACTGAGCGGGTCAATTAACGATACAGAGAGCAATCAAGGAGTGACCCCGCTGTCGCATATACAAGAAGATGTGATGCCATACGAACTAAGTAACTGTGGCCAAAGAAGCGCACTGGATAGACCTCTGATCCATTTGACAAAATTTAGAAGGGCCGATGACATATCCCTCGAGCAGGTTACGCCATACGCCCAAATTGACCTGACACTGTGAGACAATACATTTAAATACCATTTTGAAGCATAGCAATTCGTATACAGAACATGAAACAGCACCCTAAGTGCTACCCGCAAAAAGAAGCAGAAATTCCGTGAAGAGTCAACAAACACGATAAGCCCTAACTATCTTGCAAAGATGTCGACCGGTGGTGTGCCGTGTTAACCGGAATACTCTCCTCGTGAATATACCACCATGCACACCGAAAGTGCAGATCAAAGAAAATTGCACCAGTGATACATAAGTCTACTCCTTTCAGTTGAATAAGAGAAGAAAAACATCGTTCCTGCAAATCATTGTGTATATGTCATCCGATGATAATAAACAAAACCTGAGGAAGCTAAAGTAATACAATGACAATTTATTTACTGTCCCTGGTAGAGTAATGAGGCTTGTTTTGATTCCAAATATTGGGTTAGTAAATTTTGTGCTTAAGTATTACCAGGCTAATCGGGGACCTAACAGTCAACTTTCTTAAACGTAGTCTCTGAGAGGATAGAGTGAGTGGCTGATGGCAAGAAAAGTGGCAACCGCTAGGGTAGGTCGTTGAGTATCCAGAGCCATGACAATCGATGGTAAACTTCATAAGTGGTCGAAGTATTTCCCGCATAATGGAGCAAGGCGGTCCATTCTAGAGTCAGTTAAAGCCAGGTAAAGGAAACAACAAAGTTTCTTTCAGAAGTGCTACAAGTTGCCGCGCGTTCGAAGGAAACAGGAGATGAAAAATGATTGGCCAACGAGATGAATGGGCGCAGGAGAAGAAGACCAGTAACGATAGCGAAGCTTTCACTACAGCCAGCGAGAAACAGCTCCACCGCTAAGAGACAGGTGACACACCGGCCACGGTGACAAGGTGGTTGTAGTTGAAAGCAGAAGTACCGAGACAAATATAAGTTGCAAGAAAATGTACAGGAATATATATATATATATATATATATATATATATATATATATATATATGATTTGTTAACCTAAAGCGCTTGCACAGTGCCCATACTAAGGCATTGTCTTCTCTCATAAAGGAGTTATTGTATGACCCAGCACAGCGACTCTCATTTGGATGTGGTTTTGCATTTTCGACATATGAAATCTCGGTCCAAGAGCTAGCTGTATTGACACTAGTCATCGCGACTAATGTAAACCCCTTTCAAGTCGACGACCTGTTCATTTTCGACATGATTCTATTGTTTCGTGTCGTGCTTCCTTACAGGGATCGAAAGGTATGCAATTACTAATAGAGGACTCGTTGCACGATGTTTGAAGCACCGAGTGGCTCTGAGTAGGTCGAGAGTGTATTTATTGTTCATTGAATAAGCACCAGTCTATGAACGTTGGTGCCTCGCTCCTTATGATCCGGATGATTGTGCTGCCTTGGCACTGTATGGGCACAACATGAATCCAGCAGGTACTGCTCTGTGAAACCATACGACATAAGAGTCGTAACTGTTCTCATTTGACTAGGTTTCCGTCCGCTTAATTCGGGGATATCAAGCTGAGGCCCCCTCAAAGGACGCATGGATCACATACGTTGTCATGAGGGCCGCACATGGCAACTAACATATATATATATATATTTATATATACACGCGACTAGCGGTGTTCGTTTGGCAGCGAGGCATTGGTGTGGCGCACCTGAATATATTGATACCTAATTGCGCCAACGAGAGCTGTTAGCTGAGATGAACCAGCTAGATGAGACTTCCATATTGCCGATAGAGTAGCTTGGAAAAGTGTACGGGTTAACAGAGTAAAAGAGAGATGCGTTGCTACGTGGGTGGCGCACTTCGCGAGAGGCAGTTTTCAGGTGCTTTCCGAGAGATTGTTTCACACTGGTTTACTCACAATGTTTATAGGATGACAACTAATAGTGGCGTGATCAAGAGAGCTACAACAATCCGATGTGCTGAACGCCCGGAAGTCCGTAAATGTCACGATCAACGGTCAACCGGGTCGACTGCAGTTGGACACTGCCTCGGACATCACGAGTATCTCCCTTGGCAAATCGTCTTTCCAGGCAACCTCTCACACAGCTATCAGTGCATGCGGTGGTCGTGTGCAGCTAACAGGGTAGTTGCACTGCTCTAGCTCCTTCCGAAATACTACCGTGGATGACATTTACTGCATCACGGATTAGAGCAATGTTGTCGGCATACTCTAACAAGGTGAACGCACGTCCCGGGACTCATGCTGACGCTTGCCGTCGAAGGCGTTGTGCCCATCAGGGTCCGATAATCCTTCAGTAAAGCAGGGTGAAACAACAGTGTCACGTGATGTTTGGGGATGCGTGCTTGCCCACGGTGCAGTTCCCCCGGGTTCGAGTCCTACCCGCCACATTTCCTGTTTAGGATTCCTCCCTGACAAAGAATGCATCACTGCGCACGTCATTGATAAGCTAGACCATTTCCAGGGATAAAGTACGCAGTATGAACGGTCAGAACTTCGACGACCTTTTGCGCCATGTTTTCATGTCACTGATTGGGTCAGTATGGAGCGTATTCCACCCGCGAATAGTTTATGAGATTCGATGGGTTGGTTGACGAACAACAATCGGTAAACACCAACGTGGCACATTCGTCAGGATCATAAGGAGCGAGGCACCAGCGCTCATAGGCTGGTGCTTATTCAATGAACAATAAATACACTCTCGACCTACTCAGAGCCACTAGGTGCTTCAAACATCGTGCAACGAGTCCTCTATTAGTAATTGAATACCTTTCGATCCCTGTAAGGAGGCACGACAAGAAACACAGACTACTTCTATGGGATGACCCTCTGAAACAATAGAATCATGTCGAAAATGAACAGGTCGTCGACTTGAAAGGGGTTTACATTAGTCGCGATGACTAGTGTCAATACAGCTAGCTCTTCGACCGAGATTTCATATGTCGAAAATGCAAAACCACATCCAAACGAGAGTCGCGGTGCTGGGTCATACAATAACTCCTTTATGAGAGAAGACAATGCCTTAGTAAACGCAGTGTGTACGTGTTTTAGGTCAACGAATCACATGACTAAACTATCACTTTAAACGAAAACGGTTACCATATCTCTTAACAGAGTGAGACGAGAAAGGTGGAAATATAGTATAAACGAAGTCATTTGGCATGGGAAAACTGTGGAATTCCTACGCAGATCTCCGTGGTAGCTGGAACCGCTATTTAGAGAGTTCACAGTTGAAGAAACCACCATGAGTGTGCTCCCTAATAATGGGCAATGCTACTAAAGGTGGCTGCGATCAAACGAAGTGCCGTATTCAGATCAGGAGAGGCGACTGTGATTCACTGCTTTAAATGATTGATGCCCCACAAAAATTGAGGTGGAATAGCATCGGCCTGATTCACCGCAAGGAAGGGGGAAAAACCCAGCGCCCACCGATTAAGCGTCGCGTGAGCTGCTAAGCCACGGGTACGAAATGTCAGCTCATGAGATGGAGGTGGACATCTAGAGGTAGACGCTTTCCACAAAACGTCCTAGGGCCTGCTATGTTGATGCGAACGGTATGTTAAAAGTTGCCCGACGAATGAAGATGATCAACAATTTAGACGAACTGAAACATAACTTTAAAATTCGAGCGTCCGTCATATAGGTAGTTTTTAACTAAAGCGTGACTGCATCGCAGAACTAATGACATCAGGTCAGGACACCCGGAGAAACTAAAGAAAACCGTACAACTCAATTAAGGCTTGACAAACACCGACTTAGAGACGCTTCTTTCATGCACAAGGCGGTAGGAGAGAGGATAATTAGATCATTAACTTATCTGCGTCTCTCATTAAAGATGGAGTAGGGTCAAGCTGAATATGGGTGTTCCACACGCCCTGGTTAACAATGGGTTTATAAGAAGTTTATCAACAATAATCCGCCAGAAGTCAGCACTTAAGTTAGGTTTACGTGGAGTGCTTTTAGGAATAGTTAGCTTTAAACTGTTAAGGGTGAGGATGAATCGGAGAATATCCTCCGACTGCAATTCTACCGCTTAAAGGTAGACACCCGGGACATTTATCGTTCCCGTGCACACTCATCTGCATCGCACTGATTCGTTCTGCCTATCAAAGACCTCTGATACCCACAAGAATATGAGATGACGTTGTTGGAACGGAGAGGGAATTTCGTATTAAGTCTAGCCCTATACATCGTTTCTGGCACAACTATCGATCAATCCGTAATTTGCTCATGTTTGACACCTCAAACACAGCGAGTACTATGAAGTCAAAGACAAACATTTAAACGTTAGGGCAAATGCTTATCACGGCGTCCAGCATAACTGTCCGGCGGAAAATGACGGTGTAGTGTTTGATTCCCGGTTGAGGTTGCCTCGAGCAGCATTGTCCAAAACAAGGAGTATGGGGTGCAGTAACATAAAATTATAGTTGCGTGTGGTTGCAGCAGATGTTGATTTCAACAGCACGAGCACCTGATGAGATGCCGCAGGTTGTGACTAGCTGGGAGCGAAAGGTGAGGATGTCATGGCCACAGATGACTGAATGTCGGGTTGTGAACAACTTCCCAACAATTTTGTGGACTTGACAGAAGAGGTTTGTCAGGACTTTGACCAGTGATTTATCTAGTGAGATGGGCTATAGCGGTTCTTAGGAAGTAGCAAGCAGCATACTTCAACAGATCAAGGAAGCATATCAATCAACTCACTATGCTGTTCCATCCAGTTGCAATGCGCATCATCTAATAGGGCTTAGGATGGTATGAATGAGGTCGGGATACTAGCAAGTACCGAGAAATAGAGATTACAAAATACGGCGCGTGATCAGCTAGAAGCAAGTACTGAATGTTGCCGGCGTTCGCTGATGCACCACCCGAGCCGCGAAGGTTGCGCGATGACCGCCAAACGAAACTGGAAAACAGCCGTACGCGAGGACGGTATAGTGATGTTATCTATTGGTCGTTTCCGACTCCCGGGATGCGGACCAAAGGACCCTGAGCATATCTGGTTGCAAACGCTATTAGATATGACCAAGGACCGTACGCAATGGCCACCATTT